ACTTCTGGTCTCTGTGATGGGTCACCAGCCCTTCTGCAAAGCATCCAGAAGGGTGTCTGCTGGACAAGCCTGGCACAGCAGGAGCCCGGCACAGGTGATACCGACATCACCAAAAAGCACCTTTATTCCCCATTTTAACCACAGCTCAGTGTCACAAGGACCGAGATTCTTGGGGCTTTCACCTAGCTGGACAAGGAAGTGTTATGGAAAAGCCCACATTGGGGTCTAAATGTTGGCGGTGGGCAGTGACCTTGGTGTCAAACACTGTGGAGAAGAGAGCGGATTAAACCGTTGCTATAAAGTGATTGCAGACAGCACTCTGGGGACACAGGGAACAGTCACCTGGCAGTTTGCTTGAGTGAGGACACACTGCACCCAGCTTTCCCAGACTCTCTTAGTTTTTACCCAAGGTCTTCTTCCATCTGAGGGTCTGCTCTAGACTCTTCTTAGTTGGGGCAGTGATGGGAAATGCCAGCCTGTAAATATGTTTCTCTTATTGGTTAACAAATAAAGCACTGTCGGCCAATAGGAAAGGAAGATAGGGGCGAGGAGACAAGGTGGAAAGGGGAAGTAGTAGGGAGGAGATTCAAGATGGAGGACGGAAAGAGCAGAATGTCAGCCCCTCTCCCCAGTAAGATGGTAAGATGAGACCACGTGGAAGTACTTAGATTGATAGAAATGGGTTAATATTTAAGACAGAGCTCGCCAGTAAGAAACTAGTAACTGGCCAACATCATTATGTCTAATACAGCGTCTCTGTGTGTTATTTGGGGCTGGTGTGGCAGTGGCTCCAGGCTGCCAGAAAAACCTCACTCATAACAGGGCAGTTTCTCACTTCCCATGTTTTGATGATGCTTTAGGAGGTGGCAGGCGAGGTGGATGGGGCTGGGAACCTGGAAGGAAGAGAGCACCCTGCATTACATCACATCAGGGTCCACAGGAGCAGCAGCCTTTTTCCCCAGGCCTCCACGGAAGGCCACCCTTTCTTTTCCTCATTTAACGCTGCATTCTTTGTCAGCCAGGTGTGGTGGCACTCAGGAGGCAGAGGCAGGGGATCTCTGTGAGTTTGATTCCAGCTTGGTCTACATAGTGAGTTCCAGGACAGTCAGGGTTTTGTGGAGAGACCCTGTCTCAAAAAATAGTAACAACAAAAATGTATCAAAACAGCAGCTGTCAAAGGAGTATTGCGCCCCCCTCCTTGAGGGTGAAAGGCCTGTATAAATTATGCTTTTGCACGACAGCGTTTTCCATGCTCTTTCCATGATGTACTTCTCACAGTGGGGTCACAGATACTTGTTTTATACTTGGGCTTCTGACCCCCTCTAGTGCTCCTTTCCATATTTAAACGTTGCCTTGTTTTCTGTGCATATGGGGATGCCACAGACATATCTTATATTCACTTTCCCTCCACTTTTACAGGCAGTCATTCTCAAGGATACAAGTTGAAACATGAAAAGGACCACAGCCCCTGAAACTTAGAGATGTGTAATAGTGCTGCATTTCTGTGATAATGTTATCTGTCCCTTCGGAGCATATGACATGCTTTCCTAAAGCACGCTTTTCTAAAGGATGTAGGTTTTGTTTTCTTTCGTTCTATAATGGAGGCTCATCCGTAGTCCCCCAAATATCTCTTTAATTGTTGAAAGAAGATAGACTCTAGCTGCCAGTGCCACTGAAGGTATCTTTGCTTTTATTTTTATACGTAATGTCATCAGATACAAGTCGTCAGAAGAATACATCCGATCTGTTTCAGATACAGAGACTTCACTGGAGATCTCCTTCATCGCACAGTTCTCCAGTAACTGCGCCAGGGTTCAAAGCTCAGGCTAGAGCTGGATCAAGGGTGCTGAGGGTAGGGACAGCTGCCCCCGGGAGTTGGCAGCTAGACTTGTGTTAGGGAACGGCAGTGAACGGCACGGTCTGAATTCACAGCAGTTCTCCTGCAAGACCATTTCCTCCAGTCACCTGTTTAACTTTGTATGATCAAAGGAATTCTGCCCAATACCAAGCAGGTCACACTGGACAATAATTAACGTCCCTGTTTTGGGACTTAACTCTGACTTGCTTGGCTGGATATAGATAGGTGATCCTCCCTGTGATTAAACTTTTTGGATGGAATGCTGGGCTAGGTGTAAGTAGCTGAACGATTTTTGTTATAAGCTGCTAACTCAAACGGAGCTGTGAAGCCAAGCATAAACTAAATAATAAACAGATGTGGGTAACCAAATATAGAAAGCCTGGTCCTGACTGCAGTGGGGCACTGTGAGATGATAGGGTACTCACGGAAAGATGCAATTTACGGGTCACAGTGTAATAGTAACCTTTCACTGCAAATTGAAAATGAACCTTGGCATATTAGATCATCTGCAGCTCACGGAGTCATTCTCGTGGATAGGGAGAGGCACTGTGGTCAGGTGCCAGCCTTTCCTCTAGATGGGGTTATTCTCCTAACATCTCATGTCTTCCTCGGTACTGTAGTTTGGAGCCAGCTGTTGATGCTCTCAGCTACGGTACTAGATCACCGGGGGATGTTCTTCCTTCTCTTCCCGGAACCTGGAGATTCGGAGTAAGAGCTTTGGTTCCAGCTGCACTGTACGCACCATCAAACGTTCTCTGCACCTTCTTAACCAGCAGACAGCAGCCGATGCTGCTGCTGCTGCTTTGTGATAAACAACTCCAAGACTTGACATAGAAAGCCATTTGATTTTCATAGGCACATCCTCCTGCGGCCACACGGGTCTGCACGCAGTGTCTGTCCCCAGTAAAGATGACAAGGCTGCAGAGATACAGTGACTTGGTGGCCTTGTCAGAGGCCGCCTTAGAAGACAAACCCTGCACTGACTCCTCACAAACAGGAATCACAAAGCAAACAATTTCCGGATGCCTAGTTCTCTCAGTCCTTGACCAGCCCTGGACATTCTGTTACGGTGTGTGTGATTTATCTTCTGGGAGAAGGCACAGAGATCTTACTGACTAGCAAAGGGAGCAGAGTTGAAGGTTACTGATTGCAGGGTGTTTTACAAAAAGGGAAACTGTCAGTTACGTGTTGAGAGAGGACAGGAGGACTCAGGTTGATGAGGGCAGTGTCTGCATGTGTCCCACCCGCACAGTGTACTCTTCAAATGCAGCAGAGGTGAGTGCAGTTCTTCAGAGTGCAGAGTCCAGCGCTTTGGTTTGCTCTAGCTTGGTGTTCTGTCATATCTCCTGCTGTGAGTCCGGTTTACAGTTTGACCGTAGTTTCACTCTGTATCAAAACACTGTAACGAGATAGTGCACCGCATATCATTTGTGACTGGTAACTTAGAACTGTCGAAGGTTGTTTATCACCTTCAACAACCCTCATACTAATGCAGTCCACTCCTTCAGGAAACGCCACTTGAGAGCACAAAGAGCCCAGGAGAGGCCTCATGAAGAGAGCAGGCCTGCCAGTCCCTTTCTGCCACACCACAGGGGAGAAGGCCGCCCACTTCACCTTGTAGGGAGCGCTGGGCATCACATCCCACAAACTCTTCTGTCCTAAACAACCCCCAGGTAGTTCTGGTCGAGTGTCCCGGCGCTCATGCATGCGCCGCATTAAAGGTAAAGAAGCAGCTGCCCATTCCAGACTCTTAACAAAGAAGGGGGCAAGTATTATGTAGTTGGTTTGTGGGAAATTACTTAGAAACCTTCATTTTTAAACGATTCCTAAGCAGTGGTAGAAGTGAATACATAATACTTAGACAATCCCACTCTTCCCCAAGAGAGGTTCATGCTCCACAAGAACCATGCACTCCTGGCCACTGGCAAAGCTTCATCTGCAGGACCGAAGCAAGGGGAGGCTGCACCACAAACCCACTGAGGAAAGCCGTGGCCCCGTTGGGCTGAGCTGGCACCCTTTAGGTGCTGAGAGGGTTAAGTGCTATTTTAACTCTGTGATCAGGTTGCTTCAGAGATAACCCCTTTTTCAGACAGAGTCACAAAGACCGTTCACTATTAACTTAAAATTAAGTTTGCCACTAATGACTTTTAAATTTTGCAATAAACAGCTATAAATAAGAATAGCTCCTATGTTTGAACATCTACATGAACAGGAATTTACTTACATCATTTCAGCCTCAGGACAGGGTGCAGGTGTCCTTTTCACATCACAGAGGAAAGCAAATCTGACAAAAGAAAGAACTAGACCCAGAACTTCTGGGCATCACAGCCATACTCAGGGCTCAGAGCCCAGACTAGACATCTAGCTGTCATTAATTGTCCACTGGACACGGACTAAAGTCACCCAGAATAGAGTCTCAAGTGAGTAATCTTTTTCTCATACTGATCTGCGAGCATTTCTGTAAGGACGGTTGCAGGAAGGCCCAGCCCACTATAAGTGCTGTCGTCCTTGAACAGGTGGTCCTGGGTATATTAGAAAGCCGTCACACGTAGGCTGCCAGTGAGCCATCAAGCATGTGTCCCCACGGCTTCTGCCCTGATGTCCCTTAGTCATGTGACCTAGAAGTCTAAGCCAAGTAAGCTACTTCCTCATGTGGCTCCCAGGAGCCAGTGTTTCACCACAGCAACAGAATGAAACCAGGGCAGCCTTCCTTACATTTGTGACCGTTACGTAGGCGCCCTGGTGTTCGGTATCAGGAGTTCATTAATCAGCTCTCAGCTTATCTTTTCTATTAGGACAAAAAGGGTGAAGAGGCTGTAAAACTGTTGTCTCCCTAGAAGTCTATAGAACCGCAGGTGGTGAATCGGAACAAATCATGAGACTCAAGTCCAGGGTGGGTTGTGGGAGATCCTTCACAGGGTCCAAAGCCAACTGCCGTGGGGATCCAGTCAGTACACATTGCAAAGGGTCTTCTTTCTAACAAACCATTTCGTGTTTGCCTGCTAAAGCACGGGGAGAGAAATGAAAGGCGTCACGCTTCGTTTCTCTGCATCATCTGTGTCTCGGTTGTGTGTGTGTGTGTGTGTGTGTGTGTGTGTGTGTGTGTCTTCACGTGGTTCCTCACACACTCTGGTCTCCTCAGGTGGCACTGGTGCGATGGACGGAGAGTGTCGGGCTCACTCTGGTCAGCAGGGACCTGGCTTCCATGCAGCTGAAGACCCCCAGTGGCCAGGTCTTGACCTACTGCATCCTACAGATGTTCCCCTTCACCTCGGAGAGCAAGCGGATGGGCATCATCGTCAGAGTATGTCGTGCCCTTACCTGCTGTGCTCACCACCCACCCCTTAGTCCAGTCACTGCGTCCCAGGCACTCTCATTCGATACCCTCACACACCCCTTAGTCTAGTCACTGTTTCCCAGGCACTCTCAATCGATACCCTCACACACCCCTTAGTCCAGTCACTGTTTCCCAGGCACTCTCAATCGATACCAAACTTCCCCCCAGAAAATGTTAAGGTCAAATATTGTGTTATTGTTCATTTTAAAACACACACACAAACACACACACACACACACACACACACACACCTCAGTAATACATGACCTGAGAATCTAGTATGGCTCCATCTCCTGCAACCGCTGAAGCAGAACAAGTAGAGGACAGTAGTAATATTTTAATTAAAATTGTATTTTAACTTTACTACTACCTACCTTTATTCTGGTTTTCTTAACCAGTACCAAAAGTGTATTTTGGAATTTCATTTGCTAAATAGTGAAATTTCATCACATTTGGGAAAGTGGAGAGCATTAATAGTTACACTGTAGACCAGATCTGTCTCAAGAATTAAAGTTCAGCATCTCAGGTGTTTGCTGACCTTGGCTCTCCCTGCCTCCCTGGTCCTTTCTCTAAGACCTGCTTCCTCCAGAGCATCCTCCTTCAGGTCAGTGGTTATTCACAGGGAGCAGTGCAGCCCAGCTGTCTTCTGTGTCTGTTCTTACCCTACTACAGGATGAATCCACAGCAGAAATCACATTCTATATGAAAGGTGCAGATGTCGCAATGTCCACCATTGTCCAGTACAATGACTGGCTTGAAGAGGAGGTAAGCAAGCTATTCTCAGCGTGCACAAATGTCTTCATGAACTGGAGTAAGATAACAGCGGAAAAGCAGTGTGTTCTCTGCACTTGCACCATTGCAGTGAGTCTCCCCATCGCCGTCGCAAGCCAGACATGGACAGGTGCCCAGGGGTGGTAATATTTTTCCACTAAATTCTCTGGGTATTTGTAGTTCCTTCCAGGTTTGTACATATAAAGGCTAAAACCCTGGTTAGTTATACAAACTCTGCTTCCTATAGAAATAATTCCATTTTTGTTTAGTATATAAATTGTGCAGGTTTAGTGTATGAAGTGTGTGTGTGTTATTGTTGTAACAATATTGCAAGGACTTTAATTTGTGTTTTAATCTAATTTGTTCTCTTTATTCCTAAACAAGTATATTTAAAGTTAGCCTTGTGGGGCTATAATATTGCTAAAGTTGTTTATTGATCAGTAATTGGATTTAAAAGTAAAACTAAGGTTGCTAGGATTGTAGCACCTTCCTGTGTACACATTACTCCAGGTGCCCTGATGTCCTGTTCCACTGTCAGACTGCAGAGATGGCCTGTCAGCACAGCAGCCACACCCGATATTCACGATGGTCCTGGCAATATGAATCAATATCTCCTTCCGGGCACTTTGATTTAATCAGAGACATGAATAAATTAAACTCCCTGAAGACCTAGTAAAATGCCATAAAAATTACTTTTGGTCATAATGACATGCAATTAATTGTAAAATACTTGTTTAATTTATTTAGCTTTATGAGGTCAAATCAATAAATGTCTTGCAACAGACAGATAATGTCAGATTGTTGTTCAGAAAGATAACTTCATTAAAAATCCTATGTGCATTTGTTTGTTCACACTGTTTGCTTGCCGCAGATAAATCTTCTGCCTCTTCGCCAACAGAATGTGTGTCACAGTTCTGCTGTTGCCTGAAAGCCGTTCACTTTACCAAGAGCAAAGTAAAAGGTGGTTTAGCGAAGTTCAGGGTGTGTTTGTTAACATGCACGTGGATCCGGGCTCCTTGGAGCCTGATCCCTGCCTACAGTTTGGCAAGAGCCCCTTTGTTTAGAATCACACTGTTAAAAGTGACATGCTTAGCACTGGAGCAACTTAGACTTTGAAATGAGTCCCTGGCTGCCTAGAGCGCAGCCAGCATTGTACCCTAACCCAGCTAAACTTCCTGCCTTTAGGAAGGGAAAACAGTATCCTATCTTAGTTACTCTGCACAATAAATGGGATTAGCATCTTTTCGCACACCTATCGGATGTCTTCCCGCTTTTCATTTATTATAGAAAAAGGGTGATTACTCATCCATGGCCTCCTCTCTCCTTTTCCAGTTAAGACCTGAGCCCCGAGCCTGGTGCGCAGGGTGACCCTGCGTGATCAACCCTGCACATGTTTGTGGTGCTGCATTTCTGCCAGGCACTGACATGCGCCTTTACAGCAGGGGACTAATGCCACTCCAGAAGAGCCCCTGCTGAAGCAGTTCCTGAGATGAAACTGACGCAGACGCTCGATGCTCTGCCCAACAACACAGGCTGCTGTGATTCCCAGCCCACCCATATTACACCTCTGTCCCTCCCCACCCCCTCGGTGGGGCAGTCGGTAGAGACGTGCTGTGGGCTGGGACATAGTGGTAGGGAGAACTTGAAGCCCTGTCCTGCCGGTTTCCTCTCGCAGCTTTGCTGTGGTCTGTGGTCCTTCAAGTTCCTGTGCTTCCCTGCAGTGGGCCTGCCGGAGAGTCCCCGAGGCCCGATGGCTGCCAGCTCAGGCACTCAGGGAGCCACAACCAAGACCCCTTTCTTTTCAGTGTGGAAACATGGCACGTGAGGGGCTGCGCACCCTTGTGGTGGCAAAGAGGGCCCTGACGGAAGAGCAGTACCAGGACTTCGAAGTGAGTTGTTCAGCCCCTGTCACTGAAGCCTTCCCTCCTGAGGAGGCCTTGGTTTCCCCACGGAAGCTCAGCCTTCCTGTGCCATTGTAAAGTGTGGGGGCACAGGCTGCAGAGTGACTGGGGACCTGCAGTGTCATCTCCTCAGCAGAGACTGAGTGTGCCTCAGAAGTGCTTCCGGCCTTGCAGCTGTCTGGATCCTGCGGTATCTGCATAGATGGCAATTTAAATTATCCATGCCCTAAATTCAATGCTGAAGCTTGCTGTATTATGATGTCATTGCTCAGGGTTCTGGGATATCTGCATAGTAGATGACAGATTAAGTTGTCCAGAGCCCCCAAGTCCCAGCACTCCAAAGTCTGAAGCTTTTTTAGTGTGATGTCATTGCTCAGGGTATGTCTGCCTTAATTATGTCATGTTTCCATATTAGGGAAAGTTCAACCAGAGTTAATAAATTTTCACATAGTAAATAATTACAAATATTTAGAGCACTTATACCTAGCATTTGTACAGCATGTTACCTCTGACCCCTAGATCCAACTCACTCCACAAAGAGAGAGCATTTACACACGTTTGCTTGTCCCCTGTGCCGTCAGAGCTGATACAGTCGTTCACATGAAGCATGCACATATCTGCATACCTGTTTCTTCTGTCCCCAGAGCCGATACAGTCAAGCCAAACTGAGCATCCATGACCGGACCCTGAAAGTTGCTGCAGTTGTGGAAAGCCTGGAGAGGGAGATGGAGCTGTTGTGTCTCACTGGGGTGGAGGACCAGCTGCAGGCTGATGTGAGGCCCACACTGGAGATGCTGCGGAATGCAGGGATCAAGGTGCAGCCTGCAGCCTCTGACTGCCAACACTGCTTTCTTACTGAATCAAACTCAGTTTTTCCTTGAAACACTGTCCATGCACTCCGTGGGGGGGGGGGTGCAAAAGACATCTTCCTCATCATCATCCTGCTTGTCCTGGCTCCAGAGGTCTCCACAATGCCCTACTCCAGTCTTACCTCTGACTCTATCTTGTTAGGAGCAGTTTTCCCACCATCCTGGTCCCACAGCCACCTCAGCCCCAATTAACACACAGAGACGCTGTATTAGATATAAAGCTGTTGGCCTGTTACTAATGTTTCTTATTGGCTAGCTCTGTCTTAAATATTAACCCATTTCTATTAATCTAAGTGTTTCCGCATGGTCTTATCTTACCAGAGAGGGTCTAGACCTCTTCCTCTCAAGTCTCTACCTCTTCATCTCCTCCCTTACATCTCCCAGAATCCTCCTTGTCTCCTAGGCCCGCCTATCTTGCCTTCCTATTTGCCAGCAATGCTTTATTTGTTAACCAATAAGAGAAGCATACTTACAGAATGACACCTCCCATCACTGTCTTTCCACATTCAAGAAGGCATAGCCTTTCTGAAGCAGGGCTTCAACCCTGTCCCTGCCAGTGACACATGCACTTCCTAGGATAGTGTTAGGTAGGGTAGTGTCAGGGCCTGCCAGCTTCTGGCCCGTGCACACGGCCTTCAGTCACACTTGCCTTGTTGATTATTTCCTCACCATCAGACGGGAACAGAAACCTCCTTGAAGTAGCCTGTGTAACCATAACCAGGAGGTTAGGTGGGAGAGGCCCAGCTTTGTGCAGGTTTCGAGTCGCGCTTACTGAGCCCTCTCATGTTGAGTCCTCACACGCTGCTCCAGAGATGGAGTAGACAGAAACCAGAGGCTGGGCAGGGTCACTCGGAAGCTGTTACTGTTCAGCTAGCTGTGCTTCAGAAGCAGTGTGCGTCCCTTGCCACAGAGTTAGAAGGCCGCAGCGATAAGCTGCTGTTGCACTTTCGTGCGGTCTTGAGTACAGCCCTGGGACCCTTCCTGCAGGGGCATGCAAGAATGCAGATTCGGGTGCAGAAGTGTTGTTTGTTGTTGTTTTGTTTTGTTTTTCTGCCTGCACCTCGTGACACCACACATGAGTTCTTCCTTCCTGGCCACTTGTGACCAGTCTCTCAGGAGACTTCCCTCCCTCCCAGGCCTCCCCTTGCCCACACAATGCTCAGCTCCCCAGCTGCTCCATTGTGCAGCTCTTGGCATTTGGAAAACAGTGTTTGCAGGAATCCAGCTGCCATTCATTCCTGCCGTGAGCTGTGAGGGTCAGCCCCTTCCCCAGTGGACTTGGTTTCAGGGCAGCATTTTCCCTGGACATTCTCCCTCCCTGCTGAGCCACAGTGCCCTTCCTCACTCATCTGTGTCTAAATCTAGCGTTTACAGGGTCAGTTTTCATTTGGGGGGCGCTGCTTCTTAGGGTTGGGTTGGGTTAGGTTAGGTTAGGTTAGGTTAGGTTATGGTTAGAAATGGCTGAGTGTTGAAGTAACCTATGGCCGACTATAGGACTGCCTGCTAGATTATCAATAGTAAGGTAGCAAGGTCCCTTGGTATAGGACTTGGGTGTTGTAGTGTGACAGTGAGTACCACCTGTGTGTGGGGGCCTTGCCCTCCACATCCCACTTGACTAGACTGGAGAAGGGAAGGTCGTGCTTGTCAGCCATGCCTCACTGTGCCTCCTGAGTGACAGGCTCAGTGCACGCTGTGGTTGCTGCTCACATAGTCATAGTTCCTAATCGTAGGTGCAGTAAAGCTAGTGAAAGTACGCTGATTGCACACACGGGTGTGCCATCTGGGCTTATCTGTTTCCTGCTCCCATAGTGCACCTTTCCATGTGATAAAGTCTGAGGCTCTGATGATGATGAAGTTAGTAATGCAAGGGCTTCCTGCTACTCTGCATGGACACCCTGGGCATTTACCCCGTCACAGAGCTCTGCATGGACACCCTGGGCATTTACCCCGTCACAGAGCTCTGCATGGACACCCTGGGCATTTACCCCGTCACCATCAGCACTTTCCAAGCTTTTCTACTCATGATCCCTTTTTGCCTGAGAGACTTTTTTACATGACCCTGAGTGTATACAAAACAGTCTTACAAACAATTTACTGACTATAAAGCATAAAGAAATTTATTTTAAGACAGTTCTTTATTATGATTTTGCCATTTACTAAAGATGAGCCAATTTACATACTAATGAGATTAATGTCCTTATTTATTTTAATATAAAGAATTAAGCCTTGGCTGAATATTTGATACAGCAGTATGTGTAGAGCATCTTCAGCAGTTTTCAAAGTAGACATCTATTTTATTTTAAGTTATGAATGCCATTTTGCATAAATACATAATGAGGGGCTGGGGCACGGATTTGCTTAGGACCCCATCAGAAATTAGGAATTCTGTCCACTTCCAAGCCAAAATTGGTTGCCCCTTTTTTTTTTTTTTTTTTTTTTAGGAAACTCACATCAGCAACTAAAACAGCAACTTATAAAATTAAACATTCTAACACACTCTGATACAACCCAGACATTTATATACTGAGGAATGGCTTTATTGTAGCATTAACAAGGAGAAAAGTTTGTACAGTAAAGTGCTGCCTCCAGTGGTCTGGCGTCTGAGCTGCAGCACTCAGTGTGTTCATGGATATTGCACGGTGTGGGGTGTATGTGCTAAGAACCCAGTCTGCAGCACCGTCCTACGGGGCTTCCAGGCAAGCGCTGCCCAAAGCACTGTGGGCTCTTTATACATTTGATTTTAAGTTACATTTTGTTGATTGCATACTCAGAAACCTTTTTATTGCCATTTTTTTTTTTTACAGCCATCCTCACAGGTAGTTAGGTACATGATTACATACAAAGTCCTGACCTACAATTTAAGCAGCAGGAGTCCAAGTATATGCCTTGACAGTGCATTGTCCGTGTGTGTGCAGCTTTTTTAATGTCGAAGTAGCAGTCTGAGACTTGATTTAAGTGCATTTTGGTTTGTCTGGGCTCCATCAGGCCGTTTGAAGGTCACCTCCCAGCTGAAGCACTATGTGGACATGAAGGCCTGTGTGGCCTTCTGGCTGTGCACTGCCTTCCCACACCTTCGGGCTCCTGCATCAGCCTCAGCTGCATGCCTGCACACCATCCTGGCTTGTTCTCCCTAAGCAAACTCGAACTCTGTGTTGTGTGGTGCAGAACACACAGCCGTGGTTGCCTTCTAGCCCCTTGTAGGTGTACCAGTCTTTCTGGGACCTCCAGCCCCCAAGTCATGACACAGAGACTCATTATTGGTTATTAATGCCTGGCCTTCCTTATCCTACACTTGTCCCATAGCTCTTATAATTTAATAAACCTGCTTTTCTTCATCTGTGGTTTGCCTTGAGACTTTTTGCCTTTCTTTCATTTTGTATGTCTTACTTTTTCTGCTGCTTCTGTGTTTGTCTGGCAGCTGTCTGGCTCTCTGACCCCAAGCATCTCCCTCGTTCTCTTCTGTCTCGAGCCGAGGTTCTCCCTCGTACTTACCCCCTCTACCCTCTAGCCCGCCTCTCCTCCTCTGCATAGCTACTGGCTTTTCAGTGTTTCATTAGACAGATCAGGTGCCTTAGGCAGGCAAAGCAACACAACTTTACATCACTAAATAGCAGCATAAATATCCTGCTACATAAACAAATACAACACATCTTTACATAGTTAAAGTACTATTCCACAACAGTAGTACACAGCTGAATTCTCTGCAGCCATTGCTGCCCCCATGCCCGTAGCTCTCCATCTCCCCAGCCTGAAACTCCCCCACCTAAGCTCTCAGTCCTCACCTCTGCGAATGTGGCTTCTCTGGACTCCTCATGTGTGGGGGATTGTGCAGTACCTACTCTTTGTATTCAGCTGATGTCATTCAGCAAAACGCCCTTGAGGAGCCTGGGTCAGAACTTTCTCCATTTCAAGGATCATGGACGTCACCACATTTCATTTCTCAGTGGGACTCAGTGCGCTCTTGGCTTGCTTAACCTCGGCCCTGTTGTGGAAATCCTATGAGAGTGGCGTACAGACAGACATCTGTGCACCAGAGATGCTGTAAAGAAATGAAATCATATTATTGAAGTTCACAAGCTCACATTTTTCCCCCTAGATTTGGATGCTAACAGGTGATAAGCTGGAGACAGCTACTTGCATTGCCAAAAGCTCACACTTGGTGTCCAGAACTCAAGACATTCATATTTTCAGGCCAGTAAGTACATCTCTAAATCACTTTGAATTGTTAATTGGCTTTTGTTTGTTTGATTTTGTTTCAAGGGGTTTTTGGTTTGGATTGGGGTTTTTTTTTTTTGTTGTTGTTGTTGTTTGTTTGTTTGTTTTGTTTTGTTTTTCCCCGAGACAAGGTTTCTCTGTATAGCTCTGACTGTTCTGGAACTCGATCTGTAGTCCAGGGCTGGCCTTGAACTCAGAGATCCACCTACCTCTGCTTCCCAAGTTCTAGGATTAACATGTATGCTCCCATACCAAGCTAGATGTTGAGTGTTTATATTACACTTAAACTGTCTATATGGTAATTGAGAAATACCTTTTCAAAATCAGTGTTGGAGTTGTTTTCTTACCCTGTAAATACGCATTGAATGGCTTTGAAATGTATTTTGATGGTAAACAAGGTGTCAGTTGGAAAGCATTTTTCTCTTATACATCTCATAAAGGTGTCGCTCCCTATTTTAAATGGGCTTGCTGCAATCATTTTCTAATCAACTTACAAGGGATGCTGTTTTACTTTTTAAACACAAGAAGTACCTAGCCTGCTGCCGTTTTAGATTAAAACCTGTCCTTTAACTAGTACAAAGAAAATGATAGAGGGGTCTGAATTTATATGTTTACTGTACATACTAGTTATAAACGTTTAATTCACACAAGAAGTAGACATACCTTGGGTCATGATTGATGGTGGGCAAGCAGACACCATGTGTCTGTGTCTGTCTGAATAAAGTGCTTGCACCTACAGAAATGATTATTTCAGTATCATTTACATGTAAATGTATTTTATTTTGAAACATCAGAATCTCAAATTACGCCCTGAAGACTACTATTTGCAATTAAATTATTAATGCTTCTGATAAAACTTCCGATCAATTTTTGTTGACTTTTCAGAGTTATGGCACCACAAATTAAAAATTTCACAATAAAACCTACCTACTTAAAGATGAGTTGAAGATTGATTTGGGGCATGTGAAACTTTTAATTTATTTCACTCCTATATCAATTTTAATGCCCTATAAACTCTTCTCAGAAAGCATGTGCAAAGCCAGTACATTGATTTCTGGCATATTTTCATTCTAAAATGAGTATTTCAACATTATGGCTTGACTTCACCCTTTTTGACTGCTTAGTACTTTAGACATTAGGCCAAAGTGCATGGGATGAGTAGAAACTCATGGCAGAAATGACAGAAGCAACTTTATTAATTTATTTTGCATTCTTCCACATATTATGAAGAAACATGTTTAAATAAAACCCGTCTATGTAATTATGTCTCTTACCTGGTGTGTGAGAAAGGGAAACTCAACTTCCTTGGGCCCTGGTATCCTGGCTTATAATTCTCTGGGGCTGTTTGTGATGCTATAAGCCAATTATGTTCATCAGTGCTCACAGTACCCACCTACCCCCACACACACACACCAGTTTAATAACTCATCTTACAGAAAGTGCTAGAAAACCCTTGATCATTACATTTTTATAAGGATGCTTTTATAACAGCAGTGGCCCTCCCATGCCTTCATGACCACAAATCAGAAAACAGTCCCTGTTAGAGGTGTGGGTATAGAATTTGTAAGGACCTTGTTACAGGGCTTCTGTTCAAAGGTTAAGCGCCTTTAGCTTCGAAATACAATTCCAATGGCTCTTACTGTGATTCCCTGAAAATGTCTCACTGCTTTATTGCCTACATTTTTAATTCATGATGCTTTTTTTCCTGCAATGAAGGTAACTAATCGGGGAGAGGCCCATTTGGAGCTGAACGCGTTTAGAAGGAAGCATGATTGTGCACTGGTCATATCTGGGAACTCTCTGGAGGTGAGGCTGAGTGTGGGCATGTGTCCTAAGGACATGAGCTGGTCATGTCTGACTCATACTCTGTCCCTTCCTGTTTTGAAGCTGCTTGAGTTTACCATCTCCTGACTCTTAGTCCCCTGCTCATTGTTAATAGCATCGGCCTGCAGTGGCTATGACAGCTCAGCCACAATATTTACCCTGCATTTGTCCAAACCAGGGTTTGTTTCCAGGTGCATGTTTGTGGGACACATGGCTACTTGGGTAGAGCTGTTGGGCCCTCCGGTCAGCCTCTGGCATTTGTTCTCAGGGCACCTGAGTATAGGGGCCTGCAGCAGGCTGCAGGAAAACCCAGGTGGGAGAGGCCCCTGGACCAGTCGTTTGTACTCAACTGTGTGGAGTTCACCTTCATGGTCACAAGGTTGGAGTCGCCAGCTCCTCCTTTTCTCCCTAGTTCTGGTTCTGCTGCTCTGACACACTTAGGACACGGACCTTGTATTGTGGCATCACACAACATTGGTGTACTACCAAACACCAGTGTCTGTAGAGCCACACTGCAGCTCCGCTAAGGTTCGGAGATGTCTGTTTAATCTTTGTACAGTGAGGGTTTCACTTAGTCCTTACGTTCCAAGTAGTCTTTTCTATTTATAAAAACAGAAAAAAAATTTTTTTTTTACATTCTGGTATGTTCTAAAACATCATGTAAATAGCTAACAAAAAGTACACCTCTTCCTGAGATTAAAGGTGATGTAAATGAGAAATCCAAAGCAATTAAGACAGTTGCAGTATGTGAAAGTGGGTGCTAGCGGCCCCCAAAGCAGTCCTTGACATGACTTTAGGCACCTTCCTCCTCTGATCAGAGTAAATACAGAAGACAGTGGCCAGGGGCCCTTCTCAGGCAGACAGGTAGAAGCAAGTTGACAAGAATCCTGGCCACCATTGGAAAAGACAGTTTTCTACAGCTCCTGGCAGAGCGTGCACCCACCACCCTCCATGAATCTGGCAGTTAGGTCTCTGGTCTCTCACGAGATAAGCACCCTCCTTTTGTTGGTAGCCTTCTGGGCCATGTGATCTGCTCTATAATACCTGTACTTCATTACATGAAAGATCTTAGAGTTCCTGGATAATGACTAAGAGTCTGTGCCCTTTAGACAGGGCTGTGAGATTGGGGTTTCTCAAGCAAGGTAGGGAATTAAGAACTGGACCTGGCACTTTGAAAGGGCCTTGAGTATCTGGTATCACAGTCAAGCAAAGGTCTCCATCAGTCATGCACTTGGGAAACACTGAAACCAAAATAGGAATGCAGCCAGGGGAAGACCGCATAGGAATCTAGCCAGGGGAAGATGGTGTAGGAATGTATCCTAGGGGAAGGTGGCGTAGGAATGTATCCTAGAGGAAGATGCATAGGAATAGAGCCTAAGGGAAGGTGGCGTAGGAATATACCATCTGGCCTCAGAAGCACGCGAACACCTTACGGTCACATAAACCTGGCAACGCTTCAGAATGTCCTGTGGCCATTGACCCTTGCCTCTGACTGAGCCATTCTCTACCCACAATGCACTACTTTTAGGAGACCTTGTACTCTTCCTGTTAAGGGACTAGCCACCACTGCCCATCTTCCCATCTTGCCCTCCTGCACAACTAAGCTGTCTATCCCCGAACAGGGTACAGTGTGTCAAAAATAAGACCCAAAAGAGCCAACTGTGCTTACTTGAGGAAGGCCAAGGTTTTCCCACAATTCTGCTTGAGCCCAGGGTTGTATGGCGACAGTAGAGTCACAGCACTCTCTCCCAGGTCTGCCTGAGGTACTACGAGCATGAACTTGTGGAGCTGGCCTGCCAGTGCCCTGCCGTGGTCTGCTGCCGCTGCTCGCCCACCCAGAAGGCCCACATCGTGACCCTGTTGCGCCAGCATACCAAAAAGCGCACCTGTGCCATCGGTGAGCCCTTCAGCCAGGCCATGGTGGGTGGTGGGATAGTATGCCACCTTCCTGTCAACAGTGAAATGTGGCAAACAGCCAACTTTACAACATTTATAAGCAAAATTGTGCCATGTCTCTAAAACTGGCTTCACCTACATTACAGGAATTTTTAATAGTCCCTAAAAGTAGTATATAAAAGCAGAAAAAGAGGCATCTAATCGATGATGATTCACTTAACCTTCAACCCATGGTACTTCTCAGGTGATGGCGGAAATGACGTGAGCATGATCCAGGCTGCTGACTGTGGGATCGGGATCGAAGGGAAGGTGGGTTTGTGCAGCACGCCATCAGCTGACCTGCTCTGCCAAGCCCCATCCTGGGAGGGAGGTCAACAGTCCGCCTGTCCTTTTGGTCTTCAGGCCCAGCTGTTGGTAAACAGCAGGGAAGTAGCTCCCTTCAGCGCCCTTGTCAGGCTGGAGTGTCCCTAGGAGCTCTTGGAGGCCCTCTGTGCTTGTGGCCAGTTCCAGCATCACTAATTCCCTGCACACCGTCCTTGGGCTTCCCTAACCCTCAGCCCCTCCCCCCGCTTCACAGGGTTCACTGTCTGTCTGTGTAGGGTGCCCTTTCCCCTGCCACCTAGGTCAGGGTTGAGGTTGATTGCTCCCTGTGTAGTCTCCCAAATATAGATACATGTAGCGAGACCTAGACAGTTTGCACAACTTGGTTTTGGCTCTTTCTGTGGCTGATCTGTTCTACTGTCCTTCGTGGTAGCTTTGGAAAAGCAGAGGGAGATTGTTTCTGCAAATGTGAAGTGACAGAGGTTTGAACAACGTCTTGGAGAGGTCTGGGACCATGTGATGAGATAGGGTGTCCCCGTAGCCAGTGCCACCCCGTCCCTTCTTACTTTCTACGTTGTAGTAGATTAAACCCTTCCTTCTTACGAGCAGCAGCTGACACCTGCGCACACGGACAGGTTCTGGTTCAGGCTCCTCTCCCTCAGCCACCCTGTCGTATCTGGTGTCGAGCAGGCCCTGCCCCTCGTGCTCTTCAATCCAGATGAACTCTAAATCTCAGGCGGTGCCAGTGGTCGGAGTGCGGCGATTCTCAGAGGCTCTTTGTGGTTTCTCAGGAGGGGAAGCAGGCCTCGCTGGCGGCGGACTTCTCCATCACACAGTTCAGACACATCGGCAGGCTGCTCATGGTGCACGGGCGGAACAGCTACAAGCGCTCTGCAGCTCTCGGCCAGTTTGTCATGCACAGGGGCCTCATCATCTCCACCATGCAGGTAGAGGCCCACGCCGGCGTGCCGCAGCAGGCAGTGGCTTCTCCAGGGCTGTGCCCTTGTCGGGGAGGTGACCACTGGACTTGGGGGGGGGGGCGGTCACGGGATTGCGACCAGCAGCACCTGTGCTCTAACTTAGTGCTCTGTCTGTCTGTCTGTCTGTCTTTCTAGGCCGTGTTTTCTGCAGTCTTCTACTTTGCGTCTGTCCCTCTATACCAGGGGTTCCTTATGGTCGGGTAAGTGAGACGCGATCCTTGGCGCCTCTCCGCTTCGCGTATGTGAGCGCCTCTGTTTGGAAAGGACATGCACAATACTGAGCGATGCCCACGCTGTTCTGAGTAGCCTTTGGCACGCAGACATCTGAGATGACTAACTGTGTAAAAATCTTGTGTTACATGGGAAGAAATTTGAAAAGCACCTGGACACTTGAGGCTTTTAAGACTGTGCTAAGTTTCGCACTAGATTTTGTTCTCGTGGGGAAGCCATAATTTGTGTCAAGAACCACGGCAGATCTGAGGTTTTCTAAAAGGGCCCCATAGCATAATGAGAGGGGCAGAGCCAAGAGGCGGGCACATGCCGACACTACCATCAGCAGGGTTGGCGCTGGCAGGCCACAGCTGCGGGCCTCCTGAGCCTTCCCCTGTCCCGGTGGGGACGCCTTTACCACAAGGGAACAGGGCCAGCCACGAACCAGGGAGCAAGCGGTAGTAGGAAGTAGATAGCTCTGGGAGAGCTGAGACTGGTCCGCCCTAGCAGCAACAAACCACAAAACCCTGCATTGATAGACAGCCACTATGAGACTACAGGCAAGAACATGGAAAACGTAGTGTGCCGCAAGGGTGTTGCCCACTGACTCATTGTTGCCGTCCTCAGCCTGGGTCGTTATACCCAGAGGTTGTAGAAGTGTGGCTGTTAGTGAGTGACCACAGAGTAAATAGAAGTAAATATAAAAGCTGTCCCCTGCCACTTTCTATCTGTCTGTGCCCACCAAGGCGTGGCCTTCACCTCAAACCAGGCCTCCCTCTTGTAACCACGAAGAACCTAGAAAGTGACGGTAGAAGCCCCGACCTTGCTGTTGCCCCCGCCATTGTAGCATGGAGGTGGCCGGCTTCCTGACATCCCTGTTTGGCATGTGAGCACAGTGAGAGGCACCTGGGTGCATGGGACAGCTTCCAGAATTCCTAATAACATGACCAGAAACAGGGGTTAGGGTCTTCGTCAAATGTCAGGTCCTGTGAGTCACCCATCCTCTGTCAGTATCTGCTCTCCGAGGTGATTGTGGTGCCCTCTCTGGACGTCCTGCCTTCATGAACCTCAACACAGCATCAAGGCAGAAGGTGTGCCTGTGGCTTGGCCCCCACAGCAGCATGTCACCCTCTTTCAAGACTCTGAGAGAGTCCATGATAAGCTCTTATGGATAAGTCCTTAGCATAATTGTTTGATGTGCCGGCACACTGGTGCTGGCAAGGAGCCTGTGGGTCTCTGGGGAGCCAGTATGTTTCTGCCCTCCTTGTGGTACAATGAAGAAAAGGAAGGCCTCACATCTCAGGCCCAGACGGGTGTGCTGTCTCCCACCATCACTTGGCTGTGGCCTTGGGAAATGTACATAATCTGCTGAGCCTGTTTTTAATCCATCAGGAAGTTTCATCCGGGAGCTTCAGGTAGCATCGTCTGGACGGGCTCCTTGTAAGTGCTTGGCAGAGTGCAGTAATCACAGGCATGCAAAAGAAGCTAAACTAAATATGCCTCTGCTGTGTGACTAGAACCTATCATGGTGACATTCCAACCCAAAGAAGTGACGGATAATTGGCACAAAAATTGGGACAAGCTGAGCATAGTGGGTGCGTGTCTGTAAATAATCCCAGCAGTCGTGAGGCTGAAGCAGAACAAGTTGAGGCCAGCTTGGGCATGTAATGAGTTCCGTTCCAGCTGTGGCTGCAGAATGAGACCCTGAGTCAGGAAGGGGGCAGTGGATGCTTTATCAGTTTTATTTGCAATAAACCCAAATTAGGAATAACCAAGATGTGTTTACACAAAGGAGCGAGTGGTTCGGTGGGTGTGGCTTATCCACGTGAGGAACCACTCGATTGTAAGGAAGGCACTGCCCAGCCACAGCCTGGAATGGCACAGAGGCATGGCACACGATATGGAAAGCCATCCTCAAACTTGCCTTCTGTCTGTGTCTCCACGGTAGCCTAACATGACAGCGAGAATGGCTTCGTGCAGGCCCAAGGACAAGTGTCGTAGGTAGACATGGGTATGCTGGGGGCTTGGTGTTGAGGGCTAGTGTGGAAGAAGTTGTCTCTGAATTAAATGGGCTGCATGTGAGTCTGCCAGGGTCAGTCAAACTTTATTAAGGAAACTGGACATATGGGACAACACTGTGTAACCCTAGCACTCAGAAGGCTGAGGCAGGAAGATCATACGTTCAAGGCCAGCCTGGGCTTCTGAGGAAGTTTCCGTTTATCCCTGGCTGTGAGAGTCCTGTCCCAAAAAGTAAGAGTTTAATAAGAAAACTCTCATTTAAGAGTCTGGTTTATACTGTGCTGGGCTCAGGAGAGATCTAAAGTGATGGGGGGGGGGGGCTGGGTTTGTTCTTATAAGAAAGATTGTTTTCCGGTTTTGAGGCTGACTTACCGCCGAGTCTAGAAGCATGGCCACTGTTGTGTCGCAGGTCCCCATCAGGGAAACTCATGTCTCGCTCTTCTAGGTATGCCACTATCTATACCATGTTCCCAGTGTTCTCCTTGGTGCTGGACCAAGACGTGAAGCCAGAAATGGCGATTCTCTACCCAGAGCTGTACAAGGACCTCACCAAGGTAAGACCTCAGTGCCAGCCTCGTCCGGGGGAGCACACCAGCACTGGCCTTTGTGTGTTCCGGCAAGGCAGAGACATCCTCTGTCCTGCATAGCATACAGCCTGGCATGTGGCAAGCATAAGAAAACATGTTTTGAAGTATTGTTTTCTTTTAAAAATTCTCAACTCTGTGTCATAGGCATGTGATGTTACACATAAGATAAGAATTTAATGGGTGTTCTGAACCATTTGTGAATCTGTCATGAGTTTAGCACAGGCTTCCAAAGCCTGTGTCTTGAGTCTTACAAAGGACCATCTCTAGCATGGCTCAGCCTGCCTAACCCTGTCACCATGTAAGAAGACCAGCCTTCTTTACTCAATGCAGGGTGCAGCACTGTCAAGCTGTCCGTGACTGGGCGCGTCCTGGGTCTATAGTTGTCTAGTTGTGGGTTTCCAAATCCCACATTGGAAGTGGCTCCCGGCATGTGTCTGTCCTAGAGACGTGTGCGATCCTGTGGGGATAGTGCATAGCACAGTCTGCCCTGAAGAGACTGAGCTGCCACTGTGAAGAGGCCCACGTGGCCGGGACCTGCACCCTGAAGGATAAGCCTTTCCTGAGGAGGTGTGGAGTCGGCCACGTGCTACATCAAAGCATATTCTCGAAGCTAACCCAAGAGCACGAGGATGGAAGGGAAGCTGAGCCCTGCACACACATTCATTGTCACGGCCTCAGAGTCTTCTCCATGGCTAGCTAGCTTTTCCTGAACCAGCACAGAAAACAAAACCACCAACTGTGTTTTTAAATTTAGGTTTTCAGTTGATTGCCTGAAATTCTCAACTCCAATTTAAAGCAGTATCAATATGATAGAATGAATAAAGAACTAAATTGTATGTTCAAGGAATTAGTTGTTAGCCCAGATGACCATTAGTAGATGAAGATGTAATCCAGCTGACCACTAACTAACAGACCAGACAAGTTCAGCTGACCATCAGCTCACCAGATAGGTGTTGGGTAAAGTCATGTACTTTAGGGTTTTATGGTGTTATTGTAAGGACCAAATTTATAAGACTTAAGGCCTCTTAAAAGATCTATAAAGTATATGTAATCCTATTTTCAGATTAAATAAACCTTCATTATTGTAGTATAAAGTAAGGTATAAATATCATCCATCATGGTGGTGATGTGGTTGAAGAAAGTGTTCCAATAGAACAATAGAACGAGCACTCTGAACCTAAAATCCTAGAATGAGACCATTGTGCCAGGATCAGAACAGGGTCACAGACACAAACTATAGGAAGTTATTGCAAATGATTAGTTTTAGTAACTTGTGTGTTTCCTTATCTCCAGATAATCTGAAAATGTTTACTAACAAGAGGAAGCTGGGAATCAGCTTTTGATACAAGTCTAGACACCCCTACCCATTACCCCCACCCTTCTTAAAACTGGACAGTCTGGAACCAGTTAGTTAGGACACTGTAAGTCCTACTGCTCAGAGTTGTGGACTTGCTCACAGGTTTGGAGGGTTCTCAGCAGCAACAGTGGAATGATTGACAAGCAAAGCACGGGCTTCCCCGGGCATTGGCTGAAGCATGGCTTTTACCACCTGTAAAGATTTAGGCCTTGTAAGGATCCACCGGTATCATTACAGGCACCGAAATTACTCCAGTACACAACTGTGTATAGGGTCACAAGTGTTAAGTGACCTTGTCTCTAGCTGTATATTCATCATCAGCTCACACCATATAAACACGAGAAATTTGTTGTGCAGTCTGAACTGGGTTATTATCTCACCGTGTTAAGTTTCCATTTTTTGTAAAGATCAACAATTTAGAATGTCTTAACATCTCAGAATGACCCCTGCATAATTATTCTAACAATTCAGTTCCCCATGTTCTCAAATTCCTCTTTTTCCATGACCCAGAAAGTGGTCATTTTTATCTTTTCGGAATTTATTACGTGACAGATCTGTATACTTCAGACCCTTCAAAAACAGTTTTAGCGAGTAGATTAAGTTGAACTGTCTTAGCTTAATCGGAAGAGCCATTTTGAAGCTTTTCGTTTCTTCTGAACTCTTTGGCAAGACATTCACATGGAACCCGAGATGGGCTCCCATGTGCCCATGTATCAGGCTCCTGTGTGAACCAGGACATGAGGTGTAGTCCCCGCTCCCGCTCCCAGTGAGCCTGCATTTTACCCCCAGAAGAAAGCATATTTTGTGGCAAATGCCAGGTGGTAGCAGAGAACTGTAGCATGAAATAAGCCACAGCTTGTAACATTTGCCCACTGCTATTCCTACCCTGCGTATTCCGAGTTGCTCATCCAAAATCAAAGCTTCCAAAGGCGGTACTGTGTTCTTTGCAGCAAATATCTGTGACTTAGTCACTTTTTCTCTCGCTACGAAGAGACATTGATGGGGAATGTTCTGTATATGCGTTTGTCCTATTGGTTGATGAATAAAACACTGATTGGCCAGGCAGGAAGTGGTGTAGCATGACAGATACTGCCATTAGCTGACCATACAAGGCAACTTTTAAAGACAGCATTTGGTTGGGGCTTACTTACAGTTCCGAGGGTCAGTCCATGACCTGCACGTCAGTGAGCATAGCAGCAAGTGAGCGGAGGAACTGGGGCAGTATCTGAGAGCCTCCACATAGTCCACAAGGAGGAGGCGGGCAGTGAGGGTCTGTAACCCTTAAAGCCCACCCTGGTGATGCACTCATCCCCTCCAGCAAGGCCATGCCTCCTAACCCTTCACAAAACTGGTCCCCCAACTAGGGACCAAGCATTCAGAGTTGAGTCTTTGGGACAATTCTCTTTCAAACCACCACACAGCGTAAGCGCCACAGACCCGCCTTGCTGCTCTGATGCGATCTGCTGACTGTGGGTCTAAGCACGTGTTGGTCTGCTCCTGCAGCCTAAACCAAGCCTACCCTTCTGACATGTCACCAGTATGGTGTTGTTTAGGCCTGGGCAATAGAGACGCCTGGTGTCTGTCTGTCAAGTAGTTAATGAATGAAGAGGGAGTGGATCACCTCCATGAAAAGGCATCATTTCCTTCATTCTCAAAAATACCAGTTTGTTTTCCTATAAAAAACGATGTACTTGTAACAAGTATTTCCAGTTCTTCATATGAAGCCCAGATGCTCTAAACTGGTACACGGTGCTTCTCTTGAGCTCACTCAGTACCCACGGGAATTGACATGCTGGTGCCTCCCCCATCCCCGCAAGTCTCTTCCTATCCGATGGACACACTCTGAGAGAGCTAGTGAGTATGAGAACAGGGCTAAGACAGCCCATAGCCGGAGGTGTGTCTGCTGGGCTCCGAATCTGCCTCACAGGTCAGTTTTCCATCGGGGCTAATGGCACAACTAGTTTGTTTTTGTGACCAGTTGCAAGATACCCAGTAATTGTAGATGGCCCTTCAGAAGTACCCTGCACCTGTCTACTATTTCTTCTGTAGAATATTCTCAAAATGATTAAGTCTCTTAACATGTGTATATGTGCCCTTGTATAATTTTTAAAGTAATGCTGAATAAAATCGAAAATTAAAGGCACAGAATTTTACAAAGAAAAAAATTTTAATTTCTTTTTTAGGTACCATAATTGTGTTGAAATCTCAATAAAAGATAAAAGTATTTTATGTGATTCCTAAATCTAATATACTAGCATTAGTTAGATCCAAAAATATCACTTTTAGTAATATAAACAAGCCGAGCACTTTTAATATAGCTCTGGTAAAAAAAAAAAAAAAAAAAAAATTGCAAAACACAAGCACATACCTTTGAATTATAACATACTTTTGGAAGATTTTTAAAATGTAAAGGGGTGATTTTTATTTGGGGACTGAACTTTGTTGATTATTGACAAACTGGCTCTAAAATGTAGATGGAATGGCAGGGAGACTGGCCTTGTTGAAGCAGCATGGGGAAACAGCAAAGGTGGTTGGCTCACTTTCATGTTCCCAGGCTTGCTGTATAGTAACAGTAAGAGCCGCAGTCAGGGCAGGCTCATAACTGGAGAGAAGAGAACCCACACTGCCCACTGACCCAAGTGGGAGATGAGGCTGTGTCAACAGATGACGTCAGCCCAGCTGGTCCTGCTTACCCCCTCCATGTATGCATAGGCGTCCAAGTGATCATTGATGCACATGTAAACAGTAGGCCTCCTGGAAGAAATATGGGAAAAGATAATTCATAACCTTGACTGAGAGTTGGTCTATAAAGGACAAAATAAATTGGATTTCATCATAATTTTAAAGTTTTGCCTTGTTAGTCACACAGTTTACAAAATGAAAACATGAAGCCACACCATAGACTGGGAGAACATATTTGCAAGTTATACTCTTTTTAAAAAAGGACTTTATTCATAATGCATAAAGAACTCTAAAAATTGAGTTTTTAGTAGCAATTATTGCTGAGTGTCTGTGGTTATAGCAAGCTGCTGGCCAGGCTGGAGAGCCAGTGGCAACTGTGGTCTGCTGTCCCAGCTCCTGTGGGGATTCAGAGTGCTTTTGTGAACTGTGTGTGTCAGCCTTAACCCTGGCCTGGATGCAGACTGAGCAAGGGTCCTCGGCCACCTGCAGGGTTGCCCAGTCTGCTTTCTGCTCTTACATGTTCAACAGTATTGCCAGTTAGTAACTGGTCTTTCTATGACATTGCTGTGTGCGTCAAGCAAACCATGATTTGTTCCTCTTGAGTCTCATTTTTTCAGTTGTACAGTAGTCCCTGTCTCCCCGCTTCAACCTTGGGAATATGAGAGAAGCAACCAGTTTGTTGTGACTCTAGTAGGAAGCAAAGTTAGTTGAGATGGACTGGGAAAATACTGTGATGAAAGAGAGAGTCCTGGCACTTCTGAGAAACCAAGAGTGTCCCTGTGCTGGCACCCAGAGGAGAGATCTGTCATATGCACATCAGTGTGCTCACCTGTAACCTGCATGTACTCACAGCATGCATGGTTCCAGTCCACAGTGTGTCCTAGCACATGTCACTGTGAGCCACACATGCATTCTGCATCCAGGACACTTTGTGCTTTCATATTAATGATGTTAGTCATCTTGGGGTTGATTAACCCTTTTGCAAAGTTCCTTTTTTATTATATGTTTGGTTCCTCTACAATCAGTATGTAATGCTTAATTGGAGATATGTCAGTGGGAATGCCCACTGAATGTGCTACCATTCAGTTTCTACATTATCTGTATGTCATAGACGAGGAAACTGGGACATGCAAGGTAAAACAGGAGCTCAGGGTAAAACAGGAGCTGTGTGCTGGGCAAGGCTGGCTCAGGGTAAAACAGGAGCTGTGTGCTGGGCAAGGGCGGCCCCGGGAAAAGGAGGGGGTGGCTGGGCAAGGCTGGCTCTGGGTAAAACAGGAGCTGTGTGCTGGGCAAGGCTGGCTCTGGGTAAAACAGGAGCTGTGTGCTGGGCAAGGCTGGCTCAGGGTAAAACAGGAGCTGTGTGCTGGGCAAGGCTGGCTCTGGGTAAAACAGGAGCTGTGTGCTGGGCAAGGCTGGCTCTGGGTGTCTGTCACAGCCTCTGTGCTCCTTGCATGTCTAGCACACGGTCAGAGTCCCTTTTGGGAGGACTGGTCTTTGATACTTGAGGGAGTGATGGAGCCTGTCGTTCAAAGGAACATCCATCCTGTACCAGGAAGAGCAGTTCAGAGGCAGCTGGAAGTCCACAGCGAGTGAGTTGCTTCTGGGGCTCATATATGTATACCACAGAGTGAGATTTCTTCCCTCGTAGGTCTATTTGTAAGCATCTATGTCAAGGAACATGACTTACGCACATTTCCTCTGATTACTTATTGATGGTTTTTATACCCATTTCATTATGCAGAGACTTACTAATCCGTGGCCTGTATGCAGTCAGCAGTAGTCATATATGCAGATTGGATGTGTGGCCTTAATGCCCTGATATGTTTGCATCCTTAACAAGACACGTGGCACAAATGTCCCCATTGACTTCCAACATCTAAATTGATCATTTTCTCCCAGTCTCGGCGTTTCAGAAAATCTGGCTATTGAGTAAATCTCTTTACTTATACAGAACATTAAAGTTAAATTTCCTTTTAAGTTCCTGAAGTAAAATTAGTCACATGCTTAATTACAGATGGATTTTATGGCCAAAGACCAAACATGCTCGTGTCTGACAAGGGAGGTGCTCTTGTGAAGTAGGTTCTTAAGAAATGTGCTAAAGTTCTCTGCTTTTGAAAATCAGCATTAACTTTAATAAATTACAATATAGTTGAATTCTGTAGTGAGGATTAGGGCTCGGTCAGTATCTTCACTGATGGACGCTTGTAACCAAGGAAACAGCTTAAATGAATGTTACTATTGTTTACAGCTAGAGCACAACTTGAATTATAGTCTGGACATGTACCTGCATGCATGTACGTGACCACACTGTGCAGGTGCCCACAGAGGCCCAAGTGTGTTCAATCCCCTGGACCCGGAGCTCCGGGTGGGTCTACACCACCTTGTGTTGGAAGGGCATTAAGCTCCCTTAACTACGCAGCTGTCTCTCCCTTCACAGTGGCATTTAACCCACATCTCCTACAAGAAACTCTCCCAGGGAGTGAAGCTGGGGAAAGGGATATATTAATGCAGGACTTAGGACTCTGACTCACTGATGTCACAGGTATGCAAGCAGGAGCTGAAGGAGCGTGCCAGGCTCCCCGATTCTTGGCCTCCATCCTGCTCTGGCATATGTCCTCTGATGGACCCCAGCACGGAGAGCCTTACAGTCCTGCCTTGTACTGAAACACTGTGAGCTCCGAGGGTCAGTGCAGGTGACCAGCAGCATCTCTTGTCTCCGGCCCATGCTAGAGCCTGTGCTTAGCCTGAAAGGTGAAGCAGGAAGTACACAGGAAACCATTCCATCTCTGTCTGTGCTGGACTTACTCATGCGGAAGGTTTTCCTGAAGGGTTACAATGTCAGACATTCTTATTTCAGTTGGGACAAGTTGGGACAACTGAAATGCCTCCACCATTTTTATTTGGGGGTCCGGGGATCCAGAGAAAACTGAGAAGGAAGTATTTATTTCCAAAAAGTAACAAAGTAGAGGAAAACATTTTTATTACAGTCTTTAGCTACTAGTTCAGCTAAATGTTTGTCTATAGATACCAACTTCTGGGTTACTAGGAATCCAAGGACATGGTTGTGGCTTAAGACTTCCACAGATGAGAGGAGAAGGCTTATAAGACCCTAACCAACCACAGGCATCCCATACACACCCATGATGCCCACCCCAGGGCTTCTCCAGGGGACAGCATCACCTGAGGTATCCTTTGTCAGGTTAGGACAGCACATGGTGGGCGTAGGACCCTTGAGATGCTCCCATGCCCAGGACCCTTGGGATTCTATAGTCAGGCATGCCACTCTGCTCTCCTAACTAACCATTCCACCCACTGTCCCTCCTAGGGGAGATCCCTTTCCTTCAAGACCTTCCTCATATGGGTTTTGATCAGTATTTACCAAGGTAAGATGGACCCTGCTTTTACCAGACCAAAGTGTGTGCGTGCGCGTGTGTGTGTGTGTCTGTGTGTTTGTGTGTCTGTGTGTGTTTGTGTGTCTGTGTGTGTTTGTGTGTATGTGTGCGTGTGTGTGTCTGTGTTGTGTGTGTGTTTGTGTCTGTGTGTGTGTGTGTGTAAAGTACTGTTTTCTGTTTTCACCCACAAGTTAAATTTCAATAGTTTAGATTTCTTCAGCAGTTACATATTGGCCTGCTTATCTTGTAGACTGGTATCTCAGCATGTGGATATGTGCATTGATATTTTGGAGAGAGCTTTTTTTGGTTTGATTTTGGAGGTTTTGAATTTTTGAGATAGCATCTCTTGTAGCCCACGATGGGCTAACTCATTTTGTAGCTGAGACTGGGCTTGAACTCCTGATCCTTCTATTTCCACCTTCGGAGTCCCGGGATTACAAGTTTTGTCACCGTGCCCAGGATGTGTGATGCTGAGGGTCAAACCCATGACCTCCTTTATACAAGCAGGTCCTCCACCACTTAGTTGCATGCTCAGCCCCAGGCTGGCACTTTTTAACTATTAGGTGAACTGATCAGAAAACTCCAATCAGCACTTTTTACATTGTGCTTCACAGAGGTTTTCTTTGAGGTATCTAACTGGGAGCCATTGCCGTCTGCTGGAGTTCCAGTGAAGGATGGGTTACCCTAGCATAACTGGCTGGCAGGCCAGAGAGCTCGTGTGAGACTTACTGTGAAGTCAGCCACGGGGACGGGACGTTGGCTTCCTACCGATCTTTAAAGTGCATGGGCCTCTGCAAATGCCAGCATTGGACGGACTGTCGGCCCTCAGCAACAGTGTCTGCACTCCTGTGCCTATTGCGCGTGTGTGGGCCGGCCATTCCCGTGCGCCCTGTTCTCGCTAGCTTGTGCCGGTTCCCAGCCCACGAAGAAAGTGCACCCCCCTCTTTCTTGCAGGCGGCATCCTCATGTACGGGGCCCTGGTGCTCTTCGAGGCAGAGTTCGTCCATGTTGTGGCCATCTCCTTCACAGCGCTGATCCTGACTGAGCTGCTCATGGTGGCTCTGACCATCAGGACGTGGCACTGGCTCATGGTTGTGGCCGAGTTCCTCAGTCTGGGCTGCTATGTTGCCTCACTTGCTTTTCTAAATGAGTATTTTGGTAAGTGCTTGGAGCTTTGATTCATTATCTGCAACAAATTAACCTTTTGTTGTTATCTCTTCAGCAGTAGCTTATAGACAACCCCCATAGCAGAAAGGTTTGGAACGCAGAAGTTTGTTTCTATGGAAAGATAAAAACCTTAGTGACTTATAAAATTAAGACCTTCACGGTCTTCCTTATGTTCATCTCCAATCATTTTCCCTGTGAGAGCTGCGCTGGTTATGTTTTCATGTGGAGTCACTGACTGCTTCAAAGCAGGCGGTTTCAGAGAGGAGGTGTGATGCTCAGGAGCGGCCCACCTGTGAATCTACACTTTGTGTCCTCAGCATTCCCAGTCCCTGCCTGTCCCTTAGCACTGTCCCACCCTCGCCTGGTCCGCTCTGCTCTGCAGATTTGTTTCATCACTCTTCTTCCCCAGAGACCCTGGGAATGGCAGGGCCACCTCGGTTCAGTCACTGTGGCTGATGACACCAAGTCCCATCCTGTCCCAAGGACAGACAGATGCTCACTTGAACATCGGCGATTGCGGGGCTGCACTGCTTCTGGATACAGAAGGCCCAGCTTCCCAGGCTCCAAAGCAGAGGGTGTGGGCATGGTGTGAACACCCGTGCGTGCATGCATGCATTCTTGTAACCGCCTGAAAGCCAAGCAGCATGCTCCCTGATCTGAAAAGGAAGGCGCCAGGCTTCAGAAGGGAGAAAGCTTTACGAGTGAGCCCCTCTTGTGTCCTACACACCCATGACAGCAGCAACAGTTGCCCCCCATGAGCAGTTAGTCACATGCCTGGGGTCCTTGCACTTCACATGGAGACACTGTGACTCTGGGTGATGAGTGTGGAGTTTGCACACTGATGAATAACAGAGCCCCTCCAGGTGGTGGGTCAAAGCCACAGTGAGTGCGTGCACTTGCTGTAAGCGATCACTCTGTGGACCAGGCAGTGGATGATGCAGATGGAGAGTGGAAAGAGTTAGCTTACATTAAAAGGAACATGAAATATAGGTGTGTGTGTGTGTGTGTGTGTGTGTGTGTGTGTGTGTGTGTGTGTTCATTATGCCTATGACATGTAAGAAAGGGCTTTCAAAGTAGAATGTCAGGTGTGGCAGTGTTCTGAGGTGGACACTCTTAGACACTAGCACACATTCGGGGAACGGGTCTGGGCATCTGTTTCCATGTTCCTGACACCCTCATTACATTGTGGTTCCCTTTCAAACGTTACCTGCAGCAGACAGTGAAGTGAAGGGTAGAACCCCAGCCACACGTGCACCTCACGCTAACATTGTGCTGCTTTTTAATGCATTTCTCCAATAAGTAGCTAACTAACCACTTAAAATGCCTGAGCTTCCTTCAGCCTTTCCTTCATCTGCTTTATTCATGTTTTCTCTTGGCACAGGTATAGGCAGAGTATCTTTTGGCGCTTTCTTAGGTAGGTAAAGTTATTATTCCCTTCCAGAGTACAGACATTTAGCAAAACAGCATTGCTGGGCACACTAGGCTAATTCTTTCAAGTTCAAATAAAAAACAGTTTTCCTCTAACTCAGCCCTCCTCACCCACTAAGACCTTGTGAGGCTACCCTGAGCTACCTACCAGCACTCTGTGCTCTAGGTGCTGTCTGCCCTCCCTAAAACAGACCTGCCTGTAAGTGCCTGCCAGAGGTTTTGTCCAGCTATGCGTGGAGAGCCCGGCCTCCAGGCCCCAGTGTAATTTGTAACTGGTGAGCAGAGCCTCTTCTCCCAGCTCTGGTAGCAGTCCAGGGGATTGTGGACTTTCACACATGTCTTGCCATGGGGACTTTGATGGCCTTGTTAACTGCAAAGTGAGCCTGTACCCTCTGTAGGTCATACTGAATGTGCTGTCTACCTGTTAGCCATGTGCAAGCCCCTCCCAGAGCCAGGGTGTGTTGACTGTTGAGAGAAGCACACACCGGACAGGTGTGCAGATCACACAGCTGGGCAGTGAGGCCCGTCAAGGTCGAGGGCCACAGACCTGTGTGCATGACCACGATGGAGGCAATGGCTCTGGGGACCGGGGTGGGGGAGTCAGTCTGGGCTGTGGCTGTGATCTTAGGGACTGGGAGCTGCTATGGCTGGCTCTCAATCTCTCCTGTCCCTCCTCCCGACAGATGTTGCCTTCATCACAACCGTGACCTTCCTGTGGAAAGTGTCAGCCATCACTGTGGTCAGCTGCCTTCCACTCTACGTGCTCAAGTACTTGAAGCGAAAGCTGTCCCCTCCCAGCTACTCCAAGCTGTCCTCCTGAGTATGCCCTGAGGCCAGGTAGAGACACTCCTGCGCTGGGCAGCATGAGGGACTGGCGCTGCTGGTGGGCTGAGGGCTGAGCTCCCCTGGCCTTCCTCCCGGTGTCTGTGCTGAAACAGCGTGAGCAGCTATGGAAGGGAGTGAGTGCTTCGGCACGGCTGGGCAGGGTTTAGTTCCTGAGCATCGAGAGCTTAGTTTCTGCAGGGTCCCAGCATCTGCCTCCTTTCTTTGATGGTGTACTGTAGAAAGCCATTCCTGCTCAGACTGGAGATGCCATGCCTGCCCATGCCACTGCACCTCGACAGACAGTGGGCCCGCTCGCCCACCCTCTGCCGCCGGCACACGCCTCCTCAGATGCAGTTTTGCTTTCCAGTGGACACCACACACATAACAAGCCCAAGTGGCCAGCGGTGACACTTCTGATATCCTAATTCCGTTGCAGCTATGAATGTAAACCATTCCTCAAGGCACTGCCTTCAGCTGATACATTTTTATATCGGTAAAAACGTATTCAGAACTGTTTACGTAGAACTCAGCTGTCCTGTGCAACTCACAGCACCACAATGCTTTGCTTCCTGAGTAGGTGTCCCTAGTCTACATGGCTTGTGATGGCAGATCCCCTGTCGAAGGCTGCACTGAGGGCTGATGGGAGTTCCTTGGAGGGATGCCGGGCTTAGTTCTCCCCACGCATCATGTGCGTGCATCCCTGTACTGCGCAGTGTGTACCCACCACACAGTGACCTCATGACCTCCGCTCTTCACGCTGTACAGCAGGCTGTGGGAGTCTCCTTTGCACTAGTTTTTGTATATGCCTACGCTCTTCAGCCTGACTCCCCCTCAGGCCTGGCCCTGAGACCCTGAACCGCTCGCTGGGGAAGGACAAGCTGTGAGAAGGAGCACTGAGGACCCGGCCCTAGCGGGCCATGCGCCTGCAGAACCTCCGCCTAGGCTCCTGTGGGCTCTTGAGAGGAGAAACCCTTGGCCGCAAATAAAGCTTCATTGCTCCCGACAGCCTTTTGACTTGAGAGCCTTTGTTGTTAGTGAGGAGCTTTGTGAGAGCTCAAGCATCCCCTTTCCCAGGCAGACTGCAGTCAGGGAAAGCTGTTCCTCGTATTCCCCACAAGGTGTCACTGTTCATTGTCAGTTCACAGGCCAGTTCTCTTCTCCCTGTTGAAGGAGGGAACCCAGAGGTCACTGACCAACATACCTGACCGGACTTCATTGATGCAGTGTGAACTAAGGGTGTCGTATTCACAGAAATGCCGAGAGGCCCTGAGCCGATGGCACATTGCTTTGATCAGGGTGTGGCCTGCCTGCAGATCGCCCCCTCACGTATGCTGTTGAGAAGTAGAGCACAGGCAGGAAGCTAACCAGCATGGTGTTGAAGAGTTGCAGGCAGCCTCAGAGAACAGTGCCCACGGTGAGCCCCTCGGGTGCAGCCATGAGACACAGCAGAAGTAGTGGACCTTTATGTCTTCCGAGGTTGAGATGTGTGAAGTCGTAGTTAGGGGCTGTGAGAAGCCAATGTGGTTTCTCATCCATGAAGTGAACATAATCTCCCCCTCAGGGAGCCGCTGTCCGGGTCAAATGAGGCGACGATGGGAGGAGCCCTGAGCAGAGGCCTGGCACACTCGAGGTCTGGGTAGCACTGGGCCTTGTCTGGATGAAGAGAGTGACTACTTAATAAAGGATCACTAGGCCTGATCTAGCTCAGGCCTACAAAGTAGCTCTTCAAGGGTCAGGGGAAGGAGCACTCAGGGGCAGCATGGCCGTCCTGCCGGCTTCTGAGACAACCTCGTTGAGTGTAGTTTTAAATTCCGGAGCTGTGTGAGCTCCACAACGCCGCCTCCTGGGCAGGCCTGCCTGCTGGTGAGCACTGTCCAATCCTCACGGGCGTCTGCAGGCCTGGTCCCCTGTTTTGTGCAAAGAAAGAGCCTCCGCGCTGTCCAAGGCAGCACACATGACAGACAGGGTCTTGCTCACTCCACGTGAAGATGCGCGTGTAAGGAAGCTAGCAGGACAGACAGCAAGTGCGTCTCTCCTGGAGAGATGGAGCTGACCAAGACCAGAAAAGACGCGTTCACACCGGGGTCAGAGAATACACGTCACGGAAGCAGAGCACAGAACAGCGGAGCGAGTTGTGAGGAGCCACGGGAAAGGCCACTGAGGCAGACGGGGCAGGGGGGGGGGACAGAGAGAAGGCTGACAAGCTGTGGTCAGGTGGGCAGATGCATGAGTAGGCCTGGACAGTCAGTAGGTGACTGGGTCGATCAGTGGGTAGTGGCCCGATGGATGTTCAGTCAGTCTGTAAGTCCAGGAGGTAAATAAATGAGTAAGCAGATAGACATGTGGACAGGTGTATGGACAGACAGGTGTATGGACAGACAGGTGGGTATCGATGGGTAGGTGGGGGAGTGCTGGGCAGAGGGCAGTTAGATGGGCAGATAAACTCTAAGGGCCACCATGCTTTGTCTGCTAACAGTTGTGAAGCAAAGAGGACCTGGCTGTGTTCCCACAGAAGGGTAACATTGTTAAAGTGACCCCTGGTTCCTTCCTGTGGTGCCCAGAGCCCAGCAAAGAAGCCATAGTAGAAATCCTCAGAGTAGCCAAGCAAGCCGTGTGCTGCTCCACCTCTGAGGAAGGCCTGGAGACCTGTCTTCAGGGGCATCATCCAAGGATGGTCAGTGCTGCACAAAAGACGTCAGGTGACCCAGATGGGCAAAATGCAAAACTAGCCACACCCTAGACACGTGGGCAGACGGACGGGGCAGCTACAGTGAGCTGCCAGGAGGTGGCCTGAAAGCCAGGTGGCCGTGGCGGTATCACTCACAGTAGACTAGCTAGCTGGTTTTTTTCAAAAAGATTATTTTCTCTGTGTGTACATATGTTGTGTGTGGTACATGCACGGGTGTATGCAGTAGCACACCCACACACATGTGGAGACCAGAAGGGGATATCCGGCGGCTGGCCACAGCTCTCCCTGTCTCACTCCTTTGAGACGGGGTCTCCGACTTAACCGGAGCCGGGCAGCCGGCATGTCCATGGCTTCTGCTCTCTGCCTCACACAGCACTGGGGTTTCAGGCCCAAAAAAAGCACTCCTAGGTTTTTCTGTGGGTGTTGGGGACTCGAACTGAGTTCATTGTTACACCGTGAGGGCTGTCGCCCACTGAAGCATCTGCTCACCTCTGTGATTGCCGTCAGTCCGTGAGCAGCAGCTAACAGGGAAGGAGAGGGAAATGGAAGCCATTGCCCTGAGCCCATCACAGCAGCTGGGCCCTCATGCTCTGCTCAGCACAGCACAGGAGCCCCGGAAGCCCAAGGCCGGACCTAATGCTGGAGCCAAGCAGGTGTGCTTGACACGGGCCTGTACTTCCAACACCTGGGGCTGAGGCAGGAGGACTGTAAATTTGAGGACACGACAAGGCCCTGTTTCACAAATCAAAATAAAAATCAAATGGCCTACTTCCAACAATGGCAAAAAAGGAATGGATTAGAGAAAATTTAAACTTTGAATGTAATGAAAATGTCAAGATTTGAGAGACACAATCAAAGCCATGCTTGGGGGAATTTATAGGTTTAAATGCTTATATGAGAGAGGAAGTCTAGAATCAAGGCTTTACTTCCGGGAAACTGGGGGGAAATAGCAAAGCAGGCTTAACCAGGAAGGAAAAACCAAAAGACAGTATGAGTGTCAGCAAGAAAGGGCCACACTGGAGAAGCCAGCTCTGGAGATCAGCTGGGGCCCCACCCCCACCCCCCACATGCTGAGGAGAAGAGAGACTAAATTCCCACACTCCGGTTCTGTGGATGAGACACAGCAGCAGCAGGTGAGTATAAAAACACCTGAGAAAATCAGGGACGTGGAAAGGTCATTGGGTTCAGTTTCTGAGCCCATAGTCTGGTGAAGCAGAAAATCACCCGGGAGAGCGTGCTAGATCAACACTGCACTCTTGGGGTGGACAGGAAGGGACCAGGGTTCCCATATCCCCTCCTAGGCGCACCCTGAGCGGCCTAAGCTCCTCCCTCTAGGCCCCATCTCTGACTAGGTCACACAGCACCATCAGGGAACTAAGCCTTCAGCAAACTGAGCCTTTGGAAGGAACCCTCTTGGGGCTTGCGGGGCGGGGAGCTGAACTTACTGTGACAGGGCAGTAGCAGCATGTAGCCCCGTCGCTCTGGTTCTTACACTGTGTGGTAGACGGGCAGGGTTGTGTGTGTGTGTTTTTGTTTTTTAACTTCCTATGAACCTATTATCAGAGGCCTGGGAGACCTTCTGCTGAGTGGTCAGATGAGAAGCGTCAGGCCCCGGGCCAAGTGTGGGAAGTGAGCTCAGGCCTGGGCAGCAGCCCTCACCACATTCCTCTGGGTTTTCTGGAAGGAAAGCCAGTTGGTGAGGCCAGCCGACTGCGAGCAGATCTGTGACTGGCTGTGATGCATGGCTTGCAGACAGCTTCCATGTCGGCCAGTATCTGCGACCCAGGCCAGATGGGAAGGACCTGCCTGGGCCAGGGGTCAGGAGGCCACAGGTCCTGTGTCTTAGGAAATGCCACCTGCCAAATATTCCATTCTTGTGTTTTCAAGGGACAGAACTCCCGGGGTGTCTCGCAGAGGGTGCAGTAGGTACTGGGGGGGGGGGCTTCCAGCATGCCACTCACTGCTGAGTGGCTACTTTCCCCAGGCTCAGTCCCGCAGCTCCTGCAGCACCGCAGCTCCTGCAGCATGCCCTTGGGCCCATGAGGACATTGTCCCTCTCCTCTTGCCCCACGGCATGTGGAGTCTGGGCACCTCCTGCCTCTGGAGACCAGCATGGCACCACAGATGTGCTTGGAGAGCACAGTGTCGACACTTAAGGGCTGGAGAAAACGAGGCACAGAGTTTAGAGGGTTTCTCAAGAGCCAGAGGAACTGAACCGACCTGTATGCAAGGGTGGTACATGTATGGACCTTGCTTCTTGAGTCACAAGGCCACATGCATGTAGGTGCCTAAGGCATCCTTTCTAGTACACCTAGGCTCGTATAAAAGGCCTGAAGGGAGTGGGTGGGAAGGGTCATAGAGCTGTCCTCC